CGTAGCGGCCGCCTCTTCTTCCGCTTGGAGCACGTGCTAGATCGAGCTACTCGAACGATACCCGGCATCCGAGACCGGCACGACCTCGTCGTCGTCGAAGAGGCATCCTCGAAGCACGAGGGCATCGGCCGAGAGGAGGGAAGGCGAGAAGCCTTCTGTGCTCCTCGAGGATGTCGCCGCTTCCTCGACGTCGACGACGACGTGGATGTACGCGCTTCTCGGTAAGGATACGACACCCGCCTGGTTGCAACGTGTGAAACACCTGACCTTAAGTGTCTTCTGCTTCCAACGGGGAAGCAGGGGAAGTCTTCTACTGGCAAAGTAGAACAACGTAAAAGTGGCTACTTCGGAACATTGAGAATGTGAGCGTTACGCACCGTGATCCAGTGATATCACCGGTGCGACAGTGAAAATGTGACCTATCTTCGAGTGCAATGATACTGGTGTACGCGTGACTTTCCGCCGCACGTGATTTTAAGCTGTCTGTCGTGTTCACGGGGTCACAGTGAGGAACTTGTTGCGACGGATTGGCCTTCGGTGGTGGCTGGTTTCGGTAGGTGATATGCGGGTTAACGACTTTGGGATCCAATACGATTTTTTATGCTTTTGAGGAGGTGGATTTATTTAGTATGTTGTTGGGTAGATTAGGGTTTGTGAGTTGGGTAGAGAGCTTTCTTTGTTGGTGATATGCAGGCAACAGGTTTTACATCCCAGATGATTTTGAATGCTTTTGAGGAGTGCGGATTTATTTAGTATGTTTTTGGCTGGATTAGGTTTGTGAGTTCGGTAGAGAGGTTTCTTTGTTGGTGACATGCAGACAACTGGTTTTAGGGCTCAGGTGATTTTTTATGCTTTTGAGGAGGGCGGATTTATTTAGTGTGTTTTTGGGTAGATTAGGGTTTGTGAGTTCAGTAGTAAGATTTCTTTGTTGATGACGTGTAGGTAACTGATTGTTGAGTGCAGGTAATTTTTGATGTTTTTGAGGAGTGCAGATGATATGTTGTTGTCTAGGTCAGGGCTCGTGGTAGAGAGGTTATTTTGGTGATATGCGGGCATCTGAGTTTGGAGTCCAAAACGATTTTCAATGTTTTTTTTGTCATATAAATGGCAAATTAATTCAGTGTCTGTTCTTGGTTAAATTAGGATTCGTGCAAGTGCGGCCGAGAAATTTCTATGTTGATGATATATAGGTAATCTTGAAATCCGCATATCTTATGTCTTTTGAGGAGTGTAAATAATGGATTAATTTAGTATGTTATTGGCTAGATTAGAGCTCGTGTCAGTGCAATAGAGAGGTTTCTATGTTGGTGATACGCAGGTAACATATCTTGAAGCCCAGAAGATATTTTGTGTCTTTTGAGACATAAAGAGGTTGAATTAATTTAACTTCTGTCATTGGTTCGATGAGGATTTATATTAGCGTAGTATAAATGTTGCTGTATTGATGATACGCAGGTGACTGATTTTGCAGTTAAGAATGATCGTTCCGTTCTTCGAGTAGCACATTACATTAATTTATTCTATACTGTTGTTTGTATTAAGGTGCACGTCAGTAAGGCGTTTATGGGTAGGTGATATGCAGGTGATATATGGTATTACCGGTTCTGGAGTCTAGAACGATTTTCCTCATCTTTTAAATAGTGCAAATAAAGGATTTATTCAGCCTCTGTTGCTGGTTTGATTAGGGATCATATCAGTGGAATAGAAACGTTTGTGTATTGGTGATATGCAGGTGACTCATTTCGAAGTTGAGAACAGTTCTTTTAAAAAATGTGGATCAGTTTACTCTATATTAACGCTTAGTGTGTCACATGAGTGGGTAGAGACATTTCTATGATGGTGATATGCAAAAAACTAATTATTGAGTTGAGAAGAATTTCTTTGTCTTCCGTGTGGTGCAGATATTACATCAATTCATTTTGTACTATCCTTTAGATTAGAGTACACATCAACAGAGTGACATTTCTATGTATGTGATATGCAGGTTACTGCGTTTAGAGTTAAGAACGATTTTCAACGTTTATTAACTAATTAGATTTCTACTAGAATTATCATATTAATTCGTTCGTTAATTTGTTAATGAAAAGTTCAATACTTATCTTCAATGACTGACATGAGCATTTATTGGCCTGACATGCAACTGATATGTAGTAAATATCAATTTCCTTTTTATCTTCCTCATTTTTCATTTGGTATTTCTTCTAGTGAAAAGTGCAGTGCATGTCTTTAACAAGTGAAATGTGTCTTTCCTAAGACGACATGCAAAAGCCCATAAATTGAAATGTAGTAAATATCGAATTCCTTTTTATCTTTAATTTTTCATTTATTACAATCTTAACTTGTTAGTAAAAAGTACAGTGCATGTCTTCAATGATTGATACGAGTCCTTCCAAACATGATACGCAGTTGAATCGTTTATTTATTAAAATAAAGCAAATATCAAATTTCTTCTTACCTATCTCATTTATTTCTTCATTCCTTCATTTATTATTTATCATAATCTTATAGTTTATAAATACAGAGCATAGCTTTACTGACAGACAAGTAAATTGACATGCAACGAATCAACAACGAATTTTTCAAATACCTTCTTTCTATCAAATATAATAAATATCAAGTTTCATGTCTATTGTACATTTAACATAGGATTACGTTAACTTTTTTCTGGCATAACGTTATGTATACGTTCCCAAGAAATTATATCTTTGATATATTGACATGCAATCAAATGATAAAACACATTGCATATTCTTAAAGTTCAAACCTATATTGATATGCAACGATCAACTTTTCTTTGTCCGTCGATTAGAAGTAGAACGTACTATCTGACTGATATGCGTCTTTGTTCTAGTGATATGAAAACAAAACCGAACGATCAGTTTTTCTGTGTTTATTGTTTAGAAGTAAAACGCACAATCTGTCTGATATGCTTCTTTGTTCCAGTGATATGCACACAGTATCGAACGATCAGTTTTTCTTTGTTTCTCGATTAGAAGTAAAACGTAAAATCTGTCTGATATGCAATCAATACTGAACGGTCAATTTTTCTTTGTTTATCGATTAGAAGTAAAACGCACAATCTGACCGATATGCGTCTTTGTTCCAGTAATATGTAAACAATACCGAACGATCAATTTTTCTTTGTTCATCGATTAGAAGTAAAACGCAGAATCCGACTGATATGCGCCTTCGTTCAAGTGAAATCTAATACCAAACTTTTCAAACAATTATATTTCTTTTGTATCACAATAAACACCAGATTATTTTTTATTTAATCATTTATCTTACTTTCTCATTTATCATATTTTCGATCATTCGTTGATTAAAAAAATGGAGTCATTGTTTAACTCCCTTCTTAAATTAACGTATCCTTTTCTTCGATGTCAGATGTTCATAGTACAATAGTATCTTTCGATCATTTTCTTCTGGTATTAGATAAACTGTTACATTATCTTCTTATCAGGCTATTACACTTTAGATTACCTTCAAGGTGATCTGAACAAAAGTATAGTTGCGTGTCTTCCTGGATGCAGCAGTATTTAAAGAACAAAGTTTTCAGAAACGCAATTAACGTTGGTGTAGATAGTCATTTGAAAGATATCTAATTGGTCGTTGATAAGATACTGATCTGAACGTATCTGCGTAAATAATAAATTAATTATGTTAGAAAGAAACGAAAGTTTAAATAAACAATTAATTTTATTGGAAAGAAACAAAATTAGGTATAAAATTCTAGGGCGATTTTAATACACTTTTCTCATGCAAAGTTTTAGTAATTTAAACACAAGTTAAATCTGTTGGAAATTTTAGAAAATTTTATCGAAAATCCGTTTGTGTCACAAAAATTAAGTTTGTATAAATTACTGAGGTTATTAATGTTCGCATAATTAAAAGAATACCCAATTCTCAATTTTTCAAATATATAACATTGTCGCATAAGAAATTTGCCAAATTAAAAAATTTATAATACGAAAGTTCCAGATTTCTAAATTCCAAATGTACATTTATGTGCTACGCGTTTGTCCACGTGTCACTGTTTTGTATTCCGTTTCTTTCTCGATAATTTTCAAATTCTAATGGTTCTTTACGTTTTAATAAGCTAATTTCTCAAGTCATTGTTTTTAAAACTATCTTTCTACGATACGTGACTATCATTCTTCAAACTTATGTTACAACATTATCACTGAACTTGAAACTAAATGTTGCGAAATTTACGACGTGCAACTACCGCATGGAAAAAACATTAAGGTAATGGTAGCAGTAGTTGACCGGTTAAGAGAAATCTTCCACGCGAACAGTCGTAACTTGCTCTGTCATGAAATGGGGAGAGTTGATGCTTGGAGACATTTTTTAAGCCTTCTAGATTATGTAACAGGACCACTTTTAAAACTTAAATTATACAAATGTGTAAAGTATATTTAAAAATTCGGTAAATTCTTCAGTTGACCACTTTCAAAAATTGAAGAACTAGTAATTCACTCTCTGTTCGCTGGTAGCTGACCACTTATACTGGAAGAAATTTCATCCACGAAATGTTCACAACATATGAACTTTTTTACCTGAACTATACAGCTATTCTTAAGAAAAACGTTAAGGAAATAGAAATATAACGTTCTATTACTTACATTAACGAATTAAATGTTATCAGTAAACATACTTCGTTTTGTATTTAATTGTTTTAAAATTCAACTGACTAATATCGTGGCATCTGAAGCTCACTTTCATCAAATGTGCACAAAGTATACAAACCTTATTTTTTGTTTTATAAAAACTGGTCAACAATTGGCACCTTTACCTTAGATAATTTTCTTTTATATTTAGGCAATGTTTAATTGAAAGGGTAAAATTTGTAGTCGTAAATGAACTAAAGAGGATCTGCGTTTGTGAAAGGAAAAGATCGAAACTAATTAAAATCTGAAAATTTTATAATAATTAAGCAATATGCATGTTCTAGTTATTGATGATTACTGTCCAAATATTAAATATGTATTATTTTAATTATTTTCATTATTTCAAATTCCCAAATTTGTATATTCTAAAATTTTCAATCTTCTGAATCTCCAAACACTTAAATTTTAAATTCGCAATTAACTGCTATCTTTTCCTTATTTCGTGCTGATTACTTTAACCAAAATGAAAGAACAGGTATCAAAATCGTGTTATAATTCCTTAAATATTTAAAAATTTAGAATGTGCAATTGCTACTTTTCAGAGGTTAATTATCTGCGATTTTAAGAGTCATTTATTCGAGTCTGTCATGTTTAATAAGCAGGTTACGGAATATAGAATTATAAATTACGTCAGGTAGACTTCTGTCATACGTTTATTATCAGTTGCGCTTATAATGACGTCAGTTTTTCTAAGAACTTGTTCATTTTTAATGTTTTGTCGATTGAAAGAAAAATCAGTGTTGTAAAGTTTTTTCTCCCTTTAATCTTTTCAAGGATGATTTTGTTTTATTACTTAAAGTATCTGCAGCAATTGTTTTTTGTTTAAAAACATGTAAAACATTGATTGATTAGAACTTTAACAAATGGACTATTTCGAACGTACCTACATTGTTAAATCTTCAAATTCTTCAATTCTTTAAAATGTAAATTTTGAGATTCCCAAAATTTCAAATTCCTAAGTTTTCTTATTTCCAAATTTCCCAGTTCCCAAATTTCCCAACTCTCAAATTTCCCAATTCCCACATTTCCCAATTCCCAAATTTTCCAATTCCCACATTTCCCAATTTCCACATTTCCCAATTTCCAAATTTTCCAACTCCCAAATTTCCCAATTCCCACATTTCCCAATTTCCACATTTCCCAACTTCCACAATTCCCAATTCCCACATTTCCCAATTTCCACATTTCCCAATTCCCAAATTTCCCAACTCCCAAATTTCCCAACTCCCAAATTTCCCAACTCCCAAATTTCCCAAATCCCTAATTTCCCAATTCCCACATTTCTCAAATCCCTAATTTCCCAATTCCCACATTTCTCAAGTTTCAAATCTCCCAATCCCCAAATTTTGCAATTCCTAAATTTCCCAAATCCCTAATTTCCCTGTTCTCAAATTTCCCAATTTCAAAGTTCTTCAAATTCCAAGTTTTCCAACTACCAATTTTCCCAATTCCTAATTCTCAAATTTCCCAATTCCCACATTTCTCAAGTTTCAAATCTCCCAATCCCCAAATTTTGCAATTCCTAAATTTCCCAAATCCCTAATTTCCCTGTTCTCAAATTTCCCAATTTCAAAGTTCTTCAAATTCCAAGTTTTCCAACTACCAATTTTCCCAATTCCTAATTCTCAAATTTCCCAATTCCCACATTTCTCAAGTTTCAAATCTCCCAATCCCCAAATTTTGCAATTCCTAAATTTCCCAAATCCCTAATTTCCCTGTTCTCAAATTTCCCAATTTCAAAGCTCTTCAAGTTCCAAGTTTTCCAACTACCAATTTTCACAATTCCTAATTTTCAAATTTCCCAATTTCCAAATTTCCAAATGGAAATTTCAAATATCAAGTTCCTAAATTCTCAGTTTTACAAATTAAGAAATTTCGAAAGTTGAAAACTCAATACTACAAAAATGTTACATTTTCAAACTTTCTGCTTTTATACATATAGAATGCACTAATTGAAGCCACTTTCCCTACATTATCATGTTCCTTAGGAAAGCTACCATGCTCACTAGTGTATACTTTGTATAGCTAATTATTACGTAATTACTTCCTTTACATAATTACATTCTTTACGTTTTAGGTATGAAATTTAAACAACAAATTTTTTTACATGGGCTTTGTGACACTTCGTTATTTAAAAAAAAAAACATAGAAAGTACATAGAAAGAAGGTTATGTGATAATAATGATGATAGCAATATATTATTAAAAACAGAAATGAATGCAGCTATCAGATATAGCTAACATTACATAACGTGTTTCACTAATTCTGTTGCAAACCGATATTTTTGTTATGTTTAGTGATATGCAAAAATATGAGAGGCGTGAATTGTTTTCCATAACAAAACGAAAATTATTCTCAAAGTCATATCTTTCGAGACTTCAATCCATATTTTCTAAAAATTGTATTGTGTTTGTGTCATCATAGCTAAAGTCAGGATCAATTTGTAGATAACACTATGTCCGTTACATGACTTAGAATATGAAAAGAATTTGAAAATGTTTGGTAACAATTGTAGTTGATGAATTAACAATTACTGTAGATCTTTAGTAATTACTACCAAAGAATTAATGACATTATTATAGTGACGTGCCGAGCGTATTGCGCTTTGTTTTGGCAGCAGAGCTCTGTCGAGGATGTTCCTCTAAACTATAAACCCTCGAGTTCCACATGTGACTCCGCTGCTTTTTCTGGATATTTCACTGCATAGAGTTCGGCAGCGCGTCTAATATTTCGTTGACATTCGCCTAACACCGGCAACGTGTCGACGTAATCATTAAATGTATCCTTTCTCACTCAAAACTTCCTCAAAATCTGTATGATACCGGAAACAGACTGACGATAACTTAACTTATGACACTTCCAGCATTATCCTGTAACAATTGATGAGTGTACACAGGTTTAAGTTATGATACTCTCGCTAGACACTGCTTCGTTTTAATATGATTAGTGACAATGAACAATACAAATTTCTTTGTTCAAACATTTCTCAATATTTCATGTACAAGGTCACGCGATGATCATGGTATCATAGGTCATTGATGGGTCTTAACCTCAACTACTATATCATGATAATACAAGTAATCCTATTAAAAAAACATCGATTAACTTGTAGTCGAAGATTACCTAGAGAACAAGTTTTTGTTTACCATAATATTTGTCTCTCTGAATCGAACAATTCACTTCTTTCATATTTTAGCGTATCATTCAAAATAACGGAACTATTATGACAGAGTTAGTGAAACAACTTTATCTGATTTACCAAATATATCAGTAAATACATATCTTAATCAATTACGGACAGAGCATGCCTTAATACTTTTCAGAAACGACTTACCTCACCTATAAATAGTTCTCATCCAAAACAACCCACGACGCACCAGGTGCGTCATCAAGTACTCAATTTTTAATATTCAGCAGTCAGGAGTTTCTGTAATAAGTCTCAGTAAGTTTATTCTAAAGAGTACTAGCACTACTAAGGTATACTAAAATATTCGATGCATATGTTAAACGATCGACTCATATGCTAAATAATGATCAACGCCCCAGTTGCGTCATAGAATACCCATTAAAAAAGTGCATGACGCGCTTGATATATCATTCCATATTTATTGGAAATAGTACGTTTTCTAATACCTATCTGGTACAACGAATGACGCATACGGTGTGTCTTCTGGCAACGTGTCGACGTAATCATTAAATGTATCCTTTCTCACTCAAAACTTCCTCAAAATCTGTATGATACCGGAAACAGACTGACGATAACTTAACTTATGACACTTCCAGCATTATCCTGTAACAATTGATGAGTGTACACAGGTTTAAGTTATGATACTCTCGCTAGACACTGCTTCGTTTTAATATGATTAGTGACAATGAACAATACAAATTTCTTTGTTCAAACATTTCTCAATATTTCATGTACAAGGTCACGCGATGATCATGGTATCATAGGTCATTGATGGGTCTTAACCTCAACTACTATATCACGATAATACAAGTAATCCTATTAAAAAAACATCGATTAACTTGTAGTCGAAGATTACCTAGAGAACAAGTTTTTGTTTACCATAATATTTGTCTCTGAATCGAACAATTCACTTCTTTCATATTTTAGCGTATCATTCTAAATAACGGAATTATTATGACAGAGTTAGTGAAACAACTTTATCTGATTTACCAAATATATCAGTAAATACATATTTTAATCAATTACGGACAGAGCATGTGTGCCTTAATACTTTTCAGAAACGACTTACCTCACTTATAAATAGTTCTCATCCAAAACAACCCACGACGCACCAGGTGCGTCATCAAGTACTCAATTTTTAATATTCAGCAGTCAGGAGTTTCTGTAATAAGTCTCAGTAAGTTTATTCTAAAGAGTACTAGCACTACTAAGGTATACTAAAATATTCGATGCATATGTTAAACGATCGACTCATATGCTAAATAATGATCAACGCCCCAGTTGCGTCATAGAATACCCATTAAAAAAGTGCATGACGCGCTTGATATATCATTCCATATTTATTGGAAATAGTACGTTTTCTAATACCTATCTGGTACAACGAATGACGCATACGGTGTGTCTTCTCATTCCCATTCTCAAACAAGGTATGACGCACCTGTTGCGTCTTGCAATAAAAAGTACATTATCAATGAATATTCAAAAAGCCATCAATTGATACAAATTAATTGTATCAATTGTACAAAGTTTGGGAAACAATTCACACTTTTGAAATTTACACGTACTCTTAAATAAAAGAGATACATTTTGTAACAGAGTTAGTGACACACCCTGTATATATAAAATAAGTATTGAATGACACATCTGATGCGTCATGATTGTCTCGTACGACGCATATAATACGTTGTTCAACGATTTAGACAACGATTGTCGTATTCAGTACATTATTGAGCTAGTAAAATGCTTTGTAAAATTTAATATCGCGGCGATAAGAGAAATCGCGTTTACTATAAAAGCAAGTTAATCATAACTGCACGAAGACGCAAGGTTTAATTTATAAATATATAAATCTAGTGTACGAATCGTTGAGGTGCAAAATTTCCATATCTATCACCTCTGAGTGATGAGAAGAAGAGGTTTTCTCCAGTCCCTTTATGTGTCCCCTAGTCGCCGCAGTTGCCCTCGAGCCGTTCGCTGGGCACTCGATCTACTCGTATCACTAGTCCCACAGTGAAATCTCGTCGAAGAATCGCGTTCCCGCTCGTTCGCACGTTGCAACCATTTCGTGTCACGGTTCGATCGAAAAATCGACTAATCCGAATAAAAGAACGACGCTTTGTACGTCCTCAGATGAGGGTGGGTTACTGGCAGATAGCGGTGGTGCCGTGGAGAATGACGTTGCGGTTGGCGATGGCGCCTGCCTGAACCCCTGTGTATTTCATCAACATCAGCAACAACATTCTCATTGTTATCGTCAAGAGCAACCGCGGTTGCAACAAACGCAGCAACAATACCGTCGACATCAGGAGGAGGAGCTGGAGGACCTGCTGTGCTTTCGTGGACCACCAGAACAGGAAATGGTGGCCCAAGAAATGGCACAGAGTTATACGCAGCTCCTCCACCCGGGTCAAGAGCCGCAAGAGTTCATATCGTTGGAGGAGCTTCAGCCGCGTTTACATCAAGATCATCTTAACGATCGTGGACAGGTCATCTTGACGATATCATCGACCGGTGCTCAGCTCTATCAGCATCCGCATCAACAACAGCAACGGAGTTACTATAACCTTTCGGCGGTGCAAGAGTAAGTGAATGAAACTATGCGTTATTGTTGTGTTCGATGGTTGGTGTTGATTTTAATGTTGTTACATGGCTAAGATAAGTGTTGACAATTTTTACTAGCGGTCAGTTGTTTATTTTATTTAATTACAGATTAAAGTTTATTTTATGTAATCAAAGATCATGGTTTATTTTACTTATTTAAAGAGAGGCAAAGCGATATACTGAGCATTTTGAAATGTTCAAGAAATACTATAAATAAAATATTTATAAAACATTATTTAATATTCTATAAGTTTTCTTTTATCAAACTGTTTAGGGACTTTTAGTTAGGATACTTGGAATATGTTATTTTACAATAGAATATGAGGTCTTTTATTTATGGAGATATAGGTGTATTACGGCTAGGTTTTTGTTGACGAAGATATGCAAGGTGGTTAAGAGTATATTGATACTAATCTTTACTGAGTACACTTACTACTCACTAGTCAGTATTCAATACTTATTACTTATTACTCATTACTCGTTAAATATTACTTAGTGTTTAATACTTGTTACATTTTTACTATTTACTGTGTACGATTTGCTATGTGTTACTTGCTTTGTCTGCTCACTGGTTATTATTGTATACTTGTTACTTTCTAGTTATTACTCAGTACTCACTACTCAGTACTCATTACTGGTTACTTATTACTCATTATTCATTACTTGCTATTTACTACTCACTACTGTTTTCTCGTTACTCATCAGTCATTGTTCATTGCTTACTATTCACCACTCACTACTCATCACTTACTATTCATCATTCATCACTCACTACTCATTATTCATAATTTATCATTCACTACTCACTATCCATTATTTACTATTCATCATTCGTCACTCACTATTCACTATTCATAATTTATCATTCGCTACTCACTATCCATTACTTACTATTCATCAATCATCACTCATTACTCACTAGTTATGACTTACGACTCATTACTGACTACTTATTGATCATTGCTCACTACTCATTCACCACTACACACTACGTATTACTTATTATTTACTATTCAGTAGTCTGAAGTTACTTCGTACTACTCATTGTTCATCATTCAATATTGATTACTTACTTTTTATTCAGTTCATGATTGTTACTCGTTAATCATTGTTTATTACCCAAGGTTTACTCTTTCCTGTCCTTTACTCTGACTACTCTTTATAGTTTACTTATTACTCACTAGTCATTGGTTACTATTTGTTACTTCTTATTCGCTGTTCACTACAAATTACGTATTACTTATTATTTACTATTCAGTAGTCTAAAGTTACTTCGTACTACTCATTGTTCATCATTCATTATTGATTACTTACTTTTTATTTAGTTCATGATTACTACTCGTTAATCATTGTTTATTACTCAAGGTTTACTATTTTCTGTCCTTTACTTATTACTCTTTATACCCTACTTATTACTCACTACTCATTACTCACTATTCACTACTTCTTACTCACTGCTCACTACTTATTACGTATTACTTATTATTTATTATTCGACAGTCTAAAGTTACCTCGTACTACTCATTATTCATCATTCAGTATTTATTACTTATTTTTTATATAGTTTATCCTTGCTGCTCACTAATCATTGCTTATTACTCAAGATTTAGTATTTTCTGTCCTTTATTTACTATTCTTTATAGTCTACTTGTTATTTACTATTCACTTCTCACGTTTTCGAAAATATTCAGATAATATTCTCGAACAATGATAATTCTTATAATATACTATATATATATCCAAAAATCTTATAAATAGTTTACAAACATTTTATAAATATTTCTTATAAAATATGTTATAAAAATATCTTATACTATATACATGTTCATAGGTAAATTTTTTAAATATTTGTGTCGTAATGCGTATTTAATCATGAAAATTCTCCGCATACTCTTTCACCACTTAGGCGCGAAACAAATGACTTGTTTTCAAGTTCGTATAAAACGCTTTGTCTTAAATCGTTTAAGAGAACGGAGCTGGAACGCGTTAAGAGATTCGATGAACCAAGATACAGAGCCTGTTATATATCGCGTCTTACGAAATCGCGTAATTGATCGGTCCAGATACACAGTTCACCGTAGGTATGTAATAATGATTTTAACGAGTCTTTTCTCGCACTAGATCCCGTCTGTTCTTCTAATAATTGCCGCGTATACCGTTTCCAAGTTTAGTGTTCGGCCGGAGAACTTTCATAGAAACGTGGCGTAACTGAATACCGCCCGGAGGAAGGGAAAGGTGTTACTTTCTATTCTTTCTCTCTTTTCCTCGCGTTCGATCATTCAATCGATTTATGTACAAAACTCGTTACGTAACCGGACTTCATCGCCGCCTTGATGATCTGTAATCTCCAGGTAACACGCTTTTCAGCAATTCCATTCGAAACGCGCGATTAATCTCTGCTTAATTTTCTAACGGGTTAATAGTTGGCATCTTGCACTTGATCTTTAATACCATTTGCTGTAGTGAGTCTTTTGTAAGTCGTGGATTTGATCTTTTACGGATTAAAATACATTTTTTGCTATTTTCTACTCATTGTTACTCATATTCGATACTCATTGTTATTCGTATTTGATACTCATTGTTACTCATATTTGATGCTCATTATTATTCGTGTTGGATACTCATTATTATTCGTGTTGGATACTCATTATTATTCGTATTTGATACTCATTATTACTCATATTGGATACTCATTATTACTCATATTCTATACTCATTGTTACTCATATTTGATCATTATTACACGTATTTGATACTTATTATTACTCACATTGGATACTCATTATTACTCATATTGGATACTCATTATTACTCATATTTAATACTCATTATTACTCATATTTGATACTCTTTAAATACTCACTATTTGTCATTCGTTACCTTCAACTAATATCATTCCTGCTGATACCATTGCTATACCATTTATTTATTATTTATTCGTTATTTATTATTTATCGCAAATTAATGTTTTGTAGAGTCTACTAAATGTTACTCGTCTGCTACATGCTGCATCATTGTTCAATACTCAAGACATTTTCTTGGTACCTGATTACTGCCCATTATTCAGTATAATACTTAGGGTATTTTCTGGTTAAATATTTGTAATTACTGCATCCTGTAAATACTTGTTACTACTTATTGAGAATGAGTAATTAAAAACTTACATCACGTAAATACTTGTTATTACTTATTAAGAATGAGTAACTAAAACGAGAATAACAAGATCTCTAATTTAGATATTTCTTTGATATTTACTATCCACTAATAATTATTCAACATTCGTTTTGCGTCACTTCACAAATTCTTTTTTTACTTACTGCTTAGTATTCATTTCTACTTAATATTCATTATTTGCTGTTCGCTGCTGAAGGCACTTTTTTTTATTTACTGTTTACTGCTCATTGTTCGTTATCTACTGTGCAATACTTAAAGCAGTTTCTTATTTATATCATTTTTATATATTCATATCATTGTTATTGTATATTAACAATGAATAATTTAGTTTAAAAGTTGAATAAGTGCATTCTTAAAAAATTAGTAGTAAAGAAGAAAAATAAAAAGTTGGTCCAACAAGACTTCGGGCGGCATCTTTGATATTTGAAGCCTGTACAGACGCGCGGGAAATTTAAATCAAATGAATTTCATTCGACGTCACCCTCTAATAATTAGAAATCCGATTGTCGTAAATTTTCTCTATATTACTAACATTGGTTTTCGAAGTATTACCATGAATTTTACGACATTGAAAAGTTGAAAAATTGCGTATACTAAAATGATTACAAAATATATTTGATGAATATATATTACAGAAACGATTATTAACTTATAAAGAAACTACAAACTGTTACAAGAAAATACAGAATGTGTTACAGGGAAATAAAATATTTATTACAAATAAATTACCGGTGAATGTGTTACAGAGGACAAAATATTTGCTCGTATTTATTACAAATTAGAAATAAATAACAAAGTATCTCTTGTAAATATGTTACAAATAAATTATGGATGAATTTGCAGGTATAAAGCATCGTTTGCCGAACGCCATACTTGCACACTGCACACATTTTTCAAAATACCACCCCGTTTCACTTAGCATGGTCATTTGAATTAGTTACACTATTCCATCTCTCTCAGAAAGTAATTCCTTTGTCAATATATCACCCCTTATTATACCTATTCTTTAACCCCTTGAACTATGATTTGCCAGGTGCGTCAAACTAACTAATCACAGCTACAATATTAAAACAGACAAAGAAAGTCGAAATATTATGTCAATTTGATATCAATCCTTGGCCATACAAATAATAAGACTAGAACTCCAAATTAAAGCGTATTCAAAATTCGAGTAAAATTGATCACGAAGTACGAGTGCGTCACGAGACTCGTCAAAATAGTGCAAAGGATTAATACCGAAGAAAAACAATTGCATAATATATTATATGTTCATCTCCAGTGAAGTTAACTAACATTTTCTGAAACGCCACCCCACTTTTCATGGTCATCTTAACCTACAATTGTCTTAGCAGTTGCGTCATTCACAGCTAACCAATTATTGCTACAATGTTAATACAAACAAAGAAAGTTAAAATGTCAGACACATTTTGCATTTAGCGATCATCGGTTGTACATATTATAATTACAATTGTATCCAAACTTCAATTACGCTAATAAAACAAGTCTCATTTGTTATATTTTAACTGTAGTGTACGTCGCGAGTGTGACACGATATTATTACTACAAAGAGTCAATAGCAATGGTGTGTCATTGTATCAGAATTGTGGACACAAAACTAAATAAAAGATACAATGTTCCTACGGCAAATTGATGTTTATGCATATAAGTATAGGGGTATCAGGTAACAATGATACACATGCTTGTACACTACGTACATATTTTGAAATACCTCATTTGGCATGGTAATTTAAATTGTTATTCCATATTTCCCAATAACTAATTTTTCAGTATATCGCTTCTTATACCTACTCTTTAAAAATGCTATTAATTTTTATTACAGTTTCTTAAACGTTACAAGTTGAACGTTGTAATTTTGTTACACTATGAAAGTGTACTGTGTAATACCACAAATGTCGCGTGCACTGACGTATACTTGAATATATAGAATTACGTTAATCGTGTAGGTTACATCATAATATACGGAACTACTTGCAGGCTGTTTGTATAGATACGTGGCCGACCTTCATCACGTCTTTTTGTGCAGATACGATATAAAGAATTGTCACTTAAGTGACTCATTCTCGAAATTATCGTTAAACGACACTCGACCAATAAATTACTGCGTATTTGTATTTTGTAACAATTGATCGAGATTATCGCAATAAATGTTACGTTATATTACCCAACATCTTATTTTTTATTCTGTCACTTCTGTTTATGGCATTTCAAATATTCTACTATAAATTGTAAATATTATTCTTATAAGAAGGTACTGCAAAATATTATTACTCATTATATTATTGTTATTATCGTTTATTTATTATACTTTGGTATTTACAAAAACCATTATACATTGACATTAATCAATTAGAATTAATTAGATTTTTAATATGTCTATTTTCATTGTAACAATCAAGGAGTTAGAGTAATAATCATATTTTTAAGAGATATTTATTATGCTGTTATTATAGAAAAAGAATGAAATATAATTCATACTTCTAATAAAATAAAGTTTATTTTAAGTCTGCTATTTTATTTATTTATTCATCTATTTTATTATTTATTATTTATTAGGTATTTCTGTCAATGATTACACACATGTTTCAACCACGAAAAATTCTTTCGACTATTATATTAATCAAATAATCATTATTGCAAGTTACTTGAAGTTCAAACTTCAAAATTAATATTGTACCAATAATGTATTATAACTATTTAGAAAATTAAACCTAAAAATTACCTATCATTTTTGCACTAATAATTAATTATAAGTAGTTTTAAATTATTAACATTAAACCTACCGGTATAACATTTACTTTAAAATAGAAAACGAAGATAAAAGAATAAATGAAACAAATCTTCACCTCAATAAAAATTACAACAGATTCAAAAATAAATGTAACCTAAAAAACTTGCAAGATTTTGACCGCTCTGGTTTCAATGTTAAGTGTAAAAAACTCATCAGGAATTAATCCGAATAATCGTAAATCAATGACTGTTTCAGAAGTTCGTGTCCCACAGTTTATTTCGGCGACATAGGAACGGGATCGGGGGTGGGAGAAGTAACCGCCAGCTCGGCGGGGGATGGCGAAGGTCTCAGCCTGACTCCAACCCCCGCCAACAACAGCAACAACACAACTACCGCCACCCCCAACACCACCGGCGCTACCACCATTGCGATTACCACAACCACCACCACCAGCACCGACACCACGCCGCAGGTCGTAACGGGGGCTGAACCGCCCCAGCACATGGAGACACCCCCGACGATGGTCCCTGACCAGGCACCCGCCTCCGGCCATCACTATCATCGTCACCACCATCATCATCATCACCACCACCATCATCATCAGCAGCAACAGCGTAGCGCTTCATCCACACCCAACCATGGACCGAACACAGACACTTCCGAGGAATTCGTACCAGATTCTAGGAAGCGAAAACTTTCTTGCCAGTAAGTTTTTTTACCATGCTCTGCTGGTTCTCAATTGTAAAACTTGCTTTTACTGGACAGCTCTCCCATCCTTAGATCCCTCCCTCCCTCCCTGACCCTAGTATGTCAAAAGCTTTTAACAATTTTTCTAAGGGGTTTGGCTCGTTTACGAAAGTCTCTGAGAAAAAGTCGTATCTGACAGGGTTTGACCAGGGTTTACATTTGCATATGTGAGTAAGTGAGTTTGACTATTCGACAATAAGTCATATCTGGCAAGGCTTGACTACGGTTTACATTTGCATATACGAGTGAGTGATCAGTATGGGGTTTTGTAGGATTTTGACTCGCTTTGCTGGCGGGCAAGAACCCTCGTATGTCACCTTCTGCTCCACATACCTCCACAAGCCTACCGGTTCAGGTTGCAAATCATGACAGGCAAAGCTTTGCAAATCTTGGCAAAGGTTTGACAGTTTTCCTGGAGTCTTCAGGTGATTTTAAATGGGGTTGATTCTATGGAAAAATGTCGTATCTCTCACCGTTTAGTCTGTGAATTTGTATACGTAACTCAGTCTATCAATGGCAAGGTTTCATAATAACAGTAATGTCACCATATTTTCTTTTAGATAAAGGTCCTCGATTCCTATGTCCTAGATTCTAGCAAGGTTTAATGATGTCAAGGTCTCCATCCTGAGTAGCCTTATTTCAAGGTTAATGAAATTTTCCTTGTTTCAATTTTAATGGGGTGTGGATTCATCAAGATGAGAACCCAGAGTAGTACGCTCACTTTAGTAAGGTCAGTCACAATTAGTATCCCGAATAGCGTTATCTTAGAACATTAAACTCGGTCTTTACATGCAACGTGTGAGGTTAATTTGATATTATCGTGGTCACCATCCTGAGTAGCGTTATTCGAGTTTCAATGGGAGTTAAGCTGCTCGAGATCATTATCCTAAGTTGTATTATGCTGAATTTTAATGGAAGTCTTAAGTAGGCTGATCAAGATCATCATCGTGGGTAATGTTGTACCAGTTTTAATGGGAATTAGGTTGATCAAGATTAGTACAGTGAATGGTGTTATCTTGGATGAAGGTTGGGTTAGATCAATAATTTTTTAATAAGTTATCAAGATTACCACCCTTGGAAAACTGGTAATAATTTATTAAATGTAGCACTTTGGTTGATGGAGTAGAAAGAAGAAATAAATTGAGATATGGACATTCGTTGTAATACCACGTATCTGTATAATTAAAATAATTTTAATGCATATTCATAATGATCAATTATATGATAGATGTGACGTTCATTGTTTCCTCCAGTTAATTCAAGAAACCTTCATGCGTCGTTTGATATTTAGAAACCAACAACGTCGACATTTCGATGAACATCAATCTATAATAAATCTTAACACAAGCATAATAAATGTTTGATTGAACGTCAGAATTAATTTCAGCTATTCAACGACGTGGTAGGTGCATCGTTCAATATTGAAAGCAACATCACGTGACCTTGAATATGAAGAATTTGAAAATGTTTGGTAACAATTGTAGTTGATGAATTAACAATTACAGTAGATCTTTAGTAATTACTACCAAAGAATTAATGACATTATTATAGTGACGTGCCGAGCGTATTGCGCTTTGTTTTGGCAGCAGAGCTCTGTCGAGGATGTTCCTCTAAACTATAAACCTTCGAGTTCCACATGTGACTCCGCTGCTTTTTCTGGATATTTCACTGCATAGAACTCAGCAGTGCGTCTAATATTTCGTTGACATTCGCCTAATACCGGCAACGTGTCGACGTAATCGTTAAATGTATCCTTTCTCACTCGAAACTTCCTCAAAATCTGCATAATACCGAAAACAGACTGACGATAACTTAACTTATGATACTTCCAGCATTATCCTGTAACAATTGATGAGTGTACATAGGTTTAAGTTATGATACTCTCGCTAGACACTGCTTCGTTTTAATATGATTAGTGACAATGAACAATACAAATTTCTTTGTTCAAACATTTCTCAATATTTCATGTACAAGGTCACGCGATGATCATGGTATCATAGGTCATTGATGGGTCTTAACCTCAACTACTATATCATGATAATACAAGTAATCCTATTAAAAAAACATCAATTAACTTGTAGTCGAAGATGACCTTGAGAACAAGTTTTTGTTTACCATAATATTTGTCTCTGAATCGAACAATTCACTTCTTTCATATTTTAGCGTATCATTCTAAATAACGGAATTATTATGACAGAGTTAGTGAAACAACTTTATCTGATTTACCAAATATATCAGTAAATACATATTTTAATCAATTACGGACAGAGCATGTGTGCCTTAATACTTTTCAGAAACGACTTACCTCACTTATAAATAGTTCTCATCCAAAACAACCCACGACGCACCAGGTGCGTCATCAAGTACTCAATTTTTAATATTCAGCAGTCAGGAGTTTCTGTAATAAGTCTCAGTAAGTTTATTCTAAAGAGTACTAGCACTACTAAGGTATACTAAAATATTCGATGCATATGTTAAACGATCGACTCATATGCTAAATAATGATCAACGCCCCAGTTGCGTCATAGAATACCCATTAAAAAAGTGCATGACGCGCTTGATATATCATTCCATATTTATTGGAAATAGTACGTTTTCTAATACCTATCTGGTACAACGAATGACGCATACGGTGTGTCTTCTTATTCCCATTCTCAAATAAGGTATGACGCACCTGTTGCGTCTTGCAATAGAAAGTACATTATCAATGAATATTTAAAAAGTCATTGATGTGCCAAGTGAAAGTAATTGAAATAAATTCACAAAAAGTTATATTAAACAGCAGAGCACATATGAAAAAATATAATGCATTATTAACGATATCTTAGCTTAACTTAGGACTTAACTTAGCAAAAAGTATAACGAATCATTAACGATATAAGAGAAAATGTAGAAAAGACACAATGTCTTACTAACGACATCGAACGAGGAAAAGGACAGGTATAAGAAATATTCAGCAATAAAATGTCTGGTCCATAATGTGTTAAGAATTGTATGGTTTGCGTGGGAAGTCATACAGGATATTGGTCTGTTACACACATTAACATGCTCGAAGCGGTGAACACGTCGAAATGAAGCCAATCAAATGTATTCAAGACCGATATTTCCATCTATAAACATCTTTCTACACCCCCACACACCTTATCCACCTCTTTGATTCAAGCCAGCGCCGCATTCCATAACGTTTCCCTGTTAAACGACCGCAACTCCCAGTAATTACCAATCAAGGTGTCGGTTACCCGCTCAAAGGGTTAACTTAATCATTAATAGAACCGAAGATTTGCCTTCTCTTGGGACCGTGGGTTGGTCGAAATTGCCTTTAGAAACTGCCATAGTTGGTGTTACCTCTGACCAGAATATATCCAATTTGGCGTCTTAAAGGTTGCTCGTAAACTAACATCATTTGAATCGTGGGAACCGTGATTTTCTATGTATTTTATTTTCACTTTGAAAATTATAATTCTAGTAATTAAATTATGGCGAGAGATGTTAGAGATATTTTTTTGATTTTCAATAATTTTGGGGAGCAAATTACGGAACACGTTGTATGATCAAAGTTTCACTTTAATCTTCGTTATATCGTATGAAAATAGTTACACTTATTAATAATTTTAATAATTAAAAAAAATATCAAACTTGTTATATCTTACTGAACATTTTTCTTCTATTTTTCAACAATAATTTTAAACATCAAATTCTAGCATACAATTTTTATGTTAAAATATATAAAATTCAAGAAATATCTCACACCTTCTTTTCTACAAATTTTGAAATGATATATGACATCTATAAATTAAAATTTAAAGTAAAATTTACAGTAAAATATAATGAAGTAAATTTAGATGAAATGTATTTAAGTAAATTTAGTTAAACTTGTGGTAACAGAAAAATTGAAATGGTGAGATATCAGTTAATGCATGTAATTATGAAACGAGTGTAAAAGTAACTTTGTTAAAACATTGCCTGTGCCGAATGTTTAAAGACAAAAGTACGAAGAAGCTGTACACGAGCGAAACTTGGTAAAATTCTGCATCAAACAAGGAACTCCCCTTCCGAAGGGTTGCACCTTAAAGAAATTGTTTGAGAAGTGCGTAGACTCGCTTTCTCAATGTTTCGTCGTCTCGAGTAGGTCTTCTTCGATTATTACTTGATCACATTGTTCTGTACGTAAAGTTGTCGAATTCTACATTCGAATGAATTTGTCAAAAACAATATTAGTTGTCTTTGTGTAGGTAATTAAGTAAAATTTTGTCAAAGTGAAGAAATTTGATTTTTTCTTTAAAAGGTAAACTAGTTTGATGAATGTTGAGTGTATAATGGAGTGATCATTAACGAAAGAAATTATAAGAGAATTAATAGTATTAGTTATTGAAACTTTGATAATATTATTTATTAATTATTCAAACTTTAATAATATTATTTATTTGTTATTTAAACTTTTGACAATATCATTTAATAATTTTTTTCGAAAAGTAAATTGAGAACATCAATTTTGTAGTTTTAATACTTTGCTTGGTACAATCGAAATTTTTATTTTAATCATTATGTTAAATTTGAATGCAACTAATCATTACGTAGAAACGAAATTTAAAAGTAACATAATTTTAAATAACAAATATTTTGTTTTCTGTTTCAGCGACAGTAGTAATTTATTGGACGACGTGGGAGACGATGCCAAATCTGTTCGCACAAATGACGACAGCAAAAAGTAAGTACAATTTGTTGTAGAACCATTAAAAATATATGATAACACTAGTGATTTTCTAAAGTAAAGGAAAAGTAATTCAAAATTCTAATTACTTAAATAAAATAGTAAAATAGACAAATAGTGTAATAGTAAAATAACAATATCACAAAATAGATAAATGCCGAAGTAGCGAAGGATTAAACAGCAAAATAAGAAGATAACATTATAGCAACGTAATAAAATAGCAAAGTAACGAGATAACAGCATGGCAAAATTGCAAAGTAACCAGATAACAACATAGCAAAATAGCAAAGTAATCAAACAGCAAATTACGAAAATTGTAAAATAATAAATTGGCAAAGTAGCAAAATAGCAAAGTAACCAAATAGCAAAGTAGCAAAATAGGAGAGTAGCGAATAGCAAAAATAGGAAAAAGCAAATGAACAAAATACCAAAATAGCAAAACAGTAGAACAGCAAAATAATAAATAATAAAACAGCAAAGTCAAAAAATAGAATCCTCATTCAAAAATAACATCCGTTCTTTAAATAAACGTAAAATGATTTTGAAGTATAATGATTCATAGAAAAAAGTTGCAGTTCATTCTAATATAGTAAGAAACCGTACAGCATAAAAGCATAATCTTGGTCAGCGGTTATGTAGTATTATTTCAAGTATTGCCAAGGTAAGTGCCACCTTGACCCACCTCGATTCTTTACTCTGGCTTCATCGACGACGTCATTAATCTAATCAACGCCAACGTAGATTGCAAACAGAAATACCACAAAGACGTTGCACCTTTAACATTCCTCTTTTTTCATATTTCAAGCCTTGTTTGCTATCAGATATTTAAATTACTTTGTGCTTCATTTCTTATATTACAGTCCCTGGCAATCGAATTACCACTATAAATTTTCAGAATTTCGCACGTTTTCCGTAAAATTAAAAGGCCTGTTCAAATTGTAATTATATAATTTATTAGCTACCATGATACACTACTACTGTACATAACATTATTAACACACGTTAATATCTTGTATTTCCACCCTTTGCTATGGTCACAGCTTCCGGCATGCTCTGAATACATCATATGCTTTATATCTTCGTTATTTTCCCAAATATCTGTAATTCTTTTCAACTCGGATAATGTGGTTGGAGAGTTGTAAATTAGTCTTTTGAGTAGGCAGACATTTTCTACGGCATTCAAATTTCACCTCTAGCGCTATACTTGAGCCTAACGTAAACGCACGGCCCTTAATCGCTCATCACCCTCATAATTTATTATCACGATAGTAACAAATTGTTATTATAGTTATCGACGTATTTAGTAATTTTGCATGACCCAAGACAATTTTCCATATATGACCATGTTATAGCCATAAAAGTGAAATTTTCGTACGTGGTCCTAATTCGATGGCCAGATTCACCATTGCTGCTTATAGCAACTTCGTGACATGAAATTAGCTAATTGCTTGCACAACTCTTGGCTTTGTATTTTGGTTTTTATACAATTCTCAATGATTCAAGTGCAAAGGGTTAATATAACAAAGAGTATTGCAAGTTCGTTGTTAGTTACTAGTCGAAAGTGGTTTCCGGCGACTGCGACTTCCGTTGACCAATTGATCGTCTGCAAAGCATCAATTCAAGTTCTTGGGAGGCACATTAACAGTGTTCGCGCACAAAAGCGCCGTTTATTAACCAGATCGGCTTCTACAATTGATATAAAACAGAGTTGTCAGTTGGGTCTTTGAAAATGATTATTAAACGCGATATTTCGCCGTGAGTGACAATATTTAAAATCAGGAGTTTGACTAATTTTATTTATTTCTGATGTGATATTATTGCAGAGACTTTTTAAAATAATAATATAAATCTTTTTATTAGACTGTGTGAATTTTTAATTTTTACTTTCGAACTTGGAATTTGCAAATTTGTAAATTTGAGAATCTAAGAATTTGTAAATTTGGGAATTAGAGAATTCAAGAATTTTTAAATTTAGAAATTAACAATTTTGAGATTCTAGGAATTTGGAATTTATTATTTTTAGATTTGATAATTTGGATCTTGAAAATTTGGAATTTTGAATTCGAAAATTTGTAAATTAGAAATGTGAAAGTTGAAAAATTTTGAAGATTGAAAATCCGTAAATTTGTAATTTACAATTTCAAATTCAGAAATTTCTGTCTAAATTGCGACTTCATAACGAATACATTTATCCCACACTAACATTGAGTATCCCTTTATTTTTCAGACAAAACCACAGCGAAATCGAGAAAAGAAGAAGGGATAAAATGAACACGTACATCACAGAACTTTCAGCGATGGTACCAATGTGCCATGCAATGTCCCGCAAACTTGACAAATTAACTGTGCTCAGAATGGCTGTGCAACACATCAAAACCATCCTCGGTGCCGTCACTTCCTATACGGAGGGTCATTATAAGCCAGCATTCCTGAGCGATCAGGAGCTCAAGACTCTCATACTTCAAGTAAGTTTACTACAATTTATCGTGCCTATTTATCTTTATCATTCAAGCTTTACGTCATGAATAATAAATCAGTGAGGAGCAATTAAATCGAGATTAATGATGTATCTTTCGACGTATATTTCAACACTTTTGCATCGAGTATCTTTTACACTATTTATTTTATTCGCTTTTGAAATTAATAGCGGGAAAACAAGTATTGAGTACATTAAGCTTTTGTATTATGCATCTTGATAGGCGCCTTTTAAAAATAAAGAATGTTAATTAGTTATTAAGATGATGTTCTTTAGGATTCATTAGTTAGGTATTTAGTTTGTATTCTTTGATGTTTTTTAACTGAATATTAAATGTTAATTAATATTAATACATATATTGATTACAAATGTTTATTTACAAATAGTTAAATAGAAATATTACAAATCTCAAACTCTCAAACTTTCAGACTTTCAAGCTCTCACATCTTTAAATTCTTAAACTCTTAAATTCTCAAACTTTTCAATTCTTACATCTTTAAACTCTCAAACTTTCAAACTCTCAGACTCTCAAATTTTAAACTCTCAAACTTTCAAACTCTCAGACTCTCAAATTTTAAACTCTCAAACTTTCAAACTCTCAGACTCTCAAATTTTAAACTCTCAGACTCACAAACTCTCAAACTCTCAAGCACTCAAATCCTCAAATCCTCAAACTTACAAACTCTCAAACTCTCAAATTCGCAAACTCTCAAACTCTCAAGCTCTCAAATCTTCAAACTTTCAAACTCTGAAACTCTCAAATCCTCAAAGTCCCAAATCCACAAACTTTCAAGTTCTCAACCTCTCAAACCCAGTTGAACCTCAAATTCTCAAATCTAAAACTCTCAAATTTGAAAGTCTCAAATTCTTAAACTCTTACTTGCTTAACTCTAAAACTACCAAAAAGGTTATATGACCCTTGTACAAGTTTTTCATTTCAACTTATAAAATTTGTTAAAACAATTTTTTTAGAATCTTTGCTAATCTCTATCAAGATAAAGAATTAATGTATATATTAATTTATGTTTTATCATTAATTTATTTATTTTTCAACTTTATTCTTAATTTCAGAGTAAGTGTGCATTGCAGTAGGTTTAGTGTTAAATTCTCAATTTCTCAAATCCGTAATCAACCAGACTTGCAATACATGAAATTCCCACGCTCGAACATCATAACTTCACCGCTCACTAACTTCTAACCTAAAAAGTACCGCTATGCAATACTCTCCATTAGAAATTAATTTTTTCCAATAAAAAATACCGCATTACCATCATTAAATATTCCATATTTTAACATTCGACTCGATTTGCTAATCAACGTACAATCTACCAGTAAATCAAGACCGATACCATTAGAATCTCTGTAACATACCGAATCCGAAGCATGTTAAAAATGTAGACATTTTCCAGTTAAGCGTTAATCGATTTTAAATTAAATCGTTTCTGTTCGAACGACAACGAATCGAAGTTCGAATTACGTAATCGTGTCTAAGATACCAGGAAGTCTTACACGAATGGTATGCACGCCTGTATCACTATCTAGTTTTCCGAATACGGAGCTCGATAATGGCGAGTAATCTCATCGTACGAATCAGTTTGCTTTCAGACTTTTAACCACACTCGTTCACCTGCCTTTCGCAATCTTCATAATCATGCTGTCAACCTAACCTCAGTCCACATTGCATTGATCTAATATTCATTCGTTTCCTACAATATAAAAATAATATGTTAGTAAAAATAATACATAGTAACTGTCAGATAATAACAGTATTGTTTACAATAATAATATATTCAACAATTAAAATAACTGAGTATGAAATCATAAAGAACGAAATGTGCATTACGACCGCATGGTAAGCTTTGTCTTGCAGGTTATGCTCGATCGATTAGATCGATCGATATTCGAAATAAACCGATCGTACAACGCATGCGTCATAGTACGCATTTGATCCTTCGCGTTTTGAGCTCAGAAGAGCATGTGTTTTAAAACCGCAAATTTTGCAATAAATATGAAAATATACGAAATGGAGAGACATGAGAGTGACAAGTAGATTTAATATTAGAGGTTAAGTTAGAGGTACACGAAAATTTTGTATATTTAAGAATGTTTGATATATTTTTGTTTGGTTATAACGTATAAGGTTTATTCGATTGTATCTGCAGGGATCGAAAGTGTTAATAAGCCTCATCGTCAGATTTCGTAATCTCATTTAGTCAGTGTCGGCTATGAGTGTTTCAAGTGAACAACTGTGTTCTGAAGCCGATAATTTAATTAAAAAATAAATGCAATAAAGCGTGGATATTTTATATATTTTAGAAGCGTGTAGATTAACTTCTTTATTTGAGCTGTAACACCTCCAAACTGAACTGCGTAATATTACACTTGTAAAAAGATTAAATTTAACTGAATTTCGGTTAAATTGAATAAAAATCTGTAATAAATAAAACTTAACTGAATTTGAGTTAAATTTAATTAAAATTTGTAGTAAATTAAATTAAACTGAATTTGAATTGACTTAAATTAAAATTTGTAGTAAATCAAATTAAACTGAATATGAATTGACTTAAATTAAAATTTGACATAAATTAAATAAAATTTAACTGAATTTGAATTGAATTGAATTAAAATTTATAGTAAATTAAATTAAACTGAATTTGAATTGACTTAAATTAAAATTTGTGGTAAATTAAATAAGATTTAACTGAATTTGAGTTACATTAAATTACAATTTGTAGTAAATTAAACTAACTAAATTTGAGTTAAATTAAAATTTGTACTAAATTAAATTAAATTGAATTTGAATGAACTAAAATTAAAATTTGACATAATTTAAATAAAATTAAACTGAATTTGATTTAAATTAAATAAAAATTGAATAAAATTGGTAAGTTAAGTAAGAAAGTACTTATTCGGAATGCATCCGAGGGTGAAATTTTTCACCGACGATGAGGTAATCGTGGAGGCATAGCAAATGGTCGATTTCGATTAGGTATCTGATTTACTGGAGTCGGTTCACTTTCAAGTTGGTTGGCTCGTTCCCATAGGCTCACGGATCGCATTATAGTTTAAGTGATTAATCCGTTAATTGGTAGCAATGCGGGAGAAAAGTTTTTACGGTGGTTGTAAAAGGCCGTCGATACCTTTTGCAATGTTTCAGTAGGAGACCGAGCGTATCCAAGAGCCGTGTCTAACCTTTCTCCGGCGTGCTACATATTTTTCACGCAGCGATCGGTCTCGCGACCAGTGAAAGAGAAGGGTTCCGCGTGTGTACACTCGAATGCAACATCACCTTCCTCTCGATAACGATACATATGTAAACTTCGTAATCTTTTGATACGAAAATTTACAAATTTCTAAATATTCAATTTTACAAATTTTTGGATTTTTACATTTTTAAGTAGTTCATTTTACAAATTTTTAAATATTCAATTTTGCAAATTGTCAAGTTTTTATTATTTAATGTTCCCACTTTTCAAAAGCATAAATTGTAAAATACTTAACTTTTCCAAATTTTTAAATTCACAAATTTTCAAACTTCTTCAAATTTCAAAATTCTTACGATTTCAACATTTTCAAGTTTCCAAATTTCAATCTTTTTTGTCGAAATTTCAAATTGTATAATTCTCAAATTTCAGAATTTACAAATTTACAAATCTTTCAATTATTCAAATCTAAAAAATCCCAAATTTCGGAAATTCGAAATCTCCAAATTCCTCAAATTCCCTAAATTTTGAAATCCGCCGATTTCCCAAATTTCAAAATCTCTAAATTCCCTAAATTTCGAAATTCTGTGATTTCCTACATGTTCAAATTTTCCAAATTCCCCAAATCCTCAAATTCTTACATTTCCTAATTTTGCAATTTCCAAAGTCGACAAGTTCCCAAATTTCTAAATTCCAAAATTTCTGAATATCCAAATCCCCAAATTATAAAATCCCTAAAATTCCCAAAGTCCTCAAGTTCCTAAATTTCTAAAATTTCCAAAATTCAAAAATTTCAAAATTTTTGAAAATCCAAATCCCCAAATTATAAAATCCCTAAAATTCCAAATCCCCAAATTCCCCAAATTCTCCGAATTCTCCAACTTCCCAAATTTCTAAATTCAAAAATTCAGAAGTTTCTAAAAATTCAAATTCCCAAATTATAAAATTCCTAAATTTTTTAATTCTCAAATTCCCAAATCTTCAAATTCTGGAAACATAATTAAAAATCAACACACCTAGAAGACCTCTTCCGCCTTAATCTACATATTGTCCCTAGGGAAATCAGATTTGCTCTAGACTGTACATGCACGTTTCTAGTATAGTGTTCGTGAAACACCGATCGGCGTTTACTCGCATTGCTCGAATTACTTGCACCTTTGATTATCACTGTCAAACAGTTAATTCGTGTTTCGAAACCACTCGCGTAACAAGGTAGAGGTTAGTTTAATAGTGGACCTACTCCCCTTTCTTTCTTTACTGACAATTATTACGACAAATTAGATATGTTCGTTAGTTAGTCAAATTTATTTATTGTTCTGATGTAATGAGTCATTCTATGCATAACTTTCTATGCAACTTTCATATATAATAAATTATTTATTTTATTTTATACATATCTTTCATACAAATTTTTGTTTTTATTTTATACACATTTGTTATTGATTTTTTTCTTTTTATTTTAACATACCTTTCTATATATCTTCCATATTAATTTTTCCTTTGTATTTTATAAATATAATTATATACATCTTTCATATAATATTTTTGTTTTTATTTTATACATATTTGTTATTGATTTTTTATTTTTATTTTAACATACCTTTCTATATATCGTTCACATAAATTTTTCCTTTTTATTTTATGAATATAATTATTAATTACATCTTTCATACAATTTTTTCGTTTTTATGTTATACATATCTTTCTACACATCTTTCACGTAAATTTTGTCTTTTTTATTTTACTTTATAGATTTTTTGTTTTTCGTTTTTATAGAATATTTTATTGAACTTTGTTTATACAGGATCACTATTAATAGCACTTGGTATAAGTAGAAATTGATTGGTCTGAAAAACGAAAGCAAGCTCTTTCTCTTATCTTTCAGAAGCATAGTTATCTTCGCATTTTTATTACTTGCCAACTTCCTTTATCGCTACCGACTCGTATTACTTAGCTGGTAACTCAGCTCTTGTAACCATGCTGATTTCAAATAAAATGCATACAAGAAATTTTCAAATTTTCTTATTTCCCATCACGATTTACGTAATAATCTTATTATTAATTAACACGATACAAAATGTTGCAATTAACGCAGCAATTTTATAAAAAATTTGCGAAAATTTAAAAATTTCGGAAAACATTTTGCTAAAATTTCGAAACTGAAGAATTTATATATTATATGTGAAGTAACAAAAGAATTAAACTGCACAATTTATAATAAAGTAAGAGCATTCGTTCGTACCTAGGGATATCGAACCTCAAAATTTAACCTCTTCACTGTTTTACTTACAATTCCTAAACTACACAAAATAAAGAAAAATATTTCCAACAAAACTTGTATGTTATAACATTCTTTACAGACGTGTGTAAACAGAATTTCGAAAAAAATTATTTTCTCAAAATTAAAATTTAAAAAACAATTTTTCCAAAACTTTTTTAATACAAGTTTATAGCATGTATAATACTGTTAAATTTTCATTTAAAACATTTTTTTATATTTTTTGTAGTTTAAGAGTTGTAAAAAAAGAAGTCGGAGTCAATTTTGTTCTCAGGTTAGGAAACATTGGTTTTAACAAAATGGAGTTATTGGATGGATATAATTTAGAAAAGATACTGTTGTACCTATAAATTATGCAAAAATAAGTGTTTGTTTCAGCTACTCATTTAAAAAATGATTTTTTGTTGTTGCAAGATGTTTCAAGGATTTTAATAAATTTGAAAATATTGCTAAGCTCTAATAGAGAAATTTTTTGTATAACCAACTTCATATTCAAATGCGTCACAGTTATAATTTCCATCGAAATTGTTCTAAGTTAAATATTTATTTTGAGCTATAATTTCCATCGAAATTATTCTGAGCTATGTATGTAAAATTGTTTTGGTGTTCTGTGCGCCGATACTAAAACAAGAACCAGGGCTTTAAGGATTCATTAAAAACTGAACTAGAAGTTACTTACAAGCTGCTAATAGAAATCAGCAATCCCTATCACTTCCTCGCTATTACCCCCAATATACAATTTGCAGTATTTTCATTATTACTAAAATTTAACTGCGCTAAAACCCGTAATATATTCAGCTAAAAATAATTTTAACCTACGTTTTCACTTTCAAAATAATTTTTCCAATTACTAATCAGCCAAACTTCCATGGACCAAATATTAAGGAATTTCACTTAATTTCACTATAGATTGTTCACAGATATGTTAAGTTTCATTTAATATTAAATTTCTATTAGTATTTTCTTTTTCAAAAATTTTCCCCCCTTGAAAAATAATCGGCTCATTCGTTGATTAGAGGTAACGAACGTCGTGAAATGCAAGTTCCTTTTCACGGTATACCCCGTCACTGCACACAGAGTTTGTGTCGGTTGGCTAGTATTTTTCATTGTCGCTTACGTACGTAAGATAGGGTTTTATCTTTTATCGAGACTTTCCTTTGCTCTATCCCTACTGAGAATAAATATCCAAGCGAGTGACCACACCCGACATACCAGCTCGGATCGACGCTGGACTCCGCCGCCATTATTACCATACAAACTTTCATTATGAATTGCCGCACGTTTGTTATTCCCGATATGTTGATATCCGGTTCGCGGGAAAATTAATATTTCCATCGAACGATAGATACCAATTGCGAACTTTGTGCAATACTGTCATTTTTATGCAACCGTTTACGATCCTGATTCGACGGTTCTGCTAACGTATTATAGTTGTTGAACGCGATTTCGTTCCCCTGGTATTTTCAATTTTTATCTTTCTTAATTGCAGCTGTGCAATTTTTTTTTAGTGATAATTATGACATTTTGATCTGCTTGATTTACTTCATTCTTTCTAATTTATTTAGATTTTAATTTTTCTCGTTTTGGGTTTTAATTTGGTATTTGTTATTGAATTTTTCACTTTCTGGATTTTGATTATTAACACTGAAATTGATTTTTTGGAATTAAATATTTTGACTTTTATACTGTGGCCGCTGAGATACTCATATTTAGTAGTTATGCAGTTATTAAGTATAATTTGAACGCAATACTAACCTAAATTTGGTAAATGCTATTGACAACCATATTTCAAACATGGAGCCTGAGTTTCGTCTACTAAGATACTCAAGTTTAGTAATTACTCAGTTATTAAATTTAACCCAAACGCAACACTAATCTAAATTTGGTAAATGCTATCGACAGCCATATTTCAAACGTGGAGCCTGAGTTTCGTTTACCATGATACTCAAGTTTAGTAATTATACAGTTATTAAATTTAACCCAAGCACAACACTAATCTAAATTTGGTAAATGCTATCGACAGCCATATTTCAAACGTGGAGCCTGAGTTTCGTTTACCATGATACTCAAGTTTAGTAATTAACAACACTAACCTAAAATTGGTGAATGCTATCGACAGCCATATTTCAAACGTGGAGCCTGAGTTTCGTTTACTAAGATACTCAAGTTTAGTAATTATACAGTTATTAAATTTAATTCAAACCTAACTCAAATTCGAAAAGTGCAGTCTACAGCAATATCAAAGAGTAGATATAACAAGAAGCGATACTAGACGAGGTACCTCTTAGAGAGAGACAGAACACAACCAATTTAAATGCTCAAATCAAAAGAATCGGGAGTGCGCATGCGTATAGTGTAGAAGTATGGCGGTCGAAAAAGAATAGTTTAAACCTGCATATTTACCAGTAATTTATTTGTAATAAATATTTTGTCATATCTCTGTAACATATTCATCTGTAATTTCTTGTGATATATAGTTTTTCATATTCTTAGAAGTTATTTGTAATAATCATTTCCGTAATACATATTCTTCAAATATATTTTTTAGAGCAATCATTTTGGTATATTCTTTTCTTTTCCAACTTTTCAACGCCGTAGAATTGATAAAAATACCTCGAAAGACAATATTAGTAATATACAGAAAATGTATTATAAATATATTCAAAATTATTGTAGATTGACATGAAAGTAGTTTTGTTTGATTTAAATTTTCCGCTTGTTTGTACAACCAATTTAAAGGGGCGTTTTGGAGAGATCAAAGGTGCCGACAGAGAGAGTCGCCTCTGGTTTACTCTGTGGCAAGGGGTTAAAAGTCCACAACTCCCCAGTTACCTAAGTTCAACAAGTGCAGCCTGCACCAGAATTTCGAATGCTCAAGCTCCAGATACAAAGATACTATCGCCAACACTCGAATATGCATTTGTTCTTGATTCGAAACAAAGTACAGTTACACGAGTACTAAAGTTTATCCTTGTCACGCGAAAAAATAGTGACACCTATCGATTCCTATTCAATGATCACGATCAGTAGTGTATGTACATATCTGTATCGACGGTCTAACAGGTAAATCGGTTAGGATAAGTGCGTTGCCGTTGCGCAATCGGCATTTGCGTAGCCCTCGACGATATATCTTCGATCGCATGCAACATTCATCAACGTCAATACGTTTCCACGTACTTAAACTCCGAAATCCCTCATTATACGCGTCCGATTGAATTTCATCTACGAATTATTCGAATGAAAAACTTGACAGACCAACGTGATCCGTTATAAATCAATTATCGTGATGTTATTTATCATAGCAGGTTAATACTTGATATGCGTGCCTTCGATGGATGATAGAACATATGTATCATTGACCATATGTGAAATATATTGTGCATAAATAGTGGAGTAATTGTGGAAATTTGTATTCTTGGAATAGAATGGAAGATGTCTGTAATATGTTAGACCTGACAATCATTTATTATAGACGACTCAATTATATATGTATGTTTATATTCACAGAAAATAATAGCACATATGTATCATTACCTACATGTAACATACGTCGGTTATTTATCTAGATAAATAGTAGAATAATTCTAGAAATTTGTAGCTGAGGAACAGAATAGAAGATGTCCACAATATGTTCGACCTGATCATTATTTACTATAGAAGATTATAGACGTTCATATCCACTCAATATAATAGCACATATGTATCATTTTCCATATGTGAAATACGTCGGTTATTATAGGTTAGTAGACTAAGTCTACAGATTTGTATTGAAGGAATAGTATAAAAGATGTCTGCAATACATTGCACCAGATAATTATCTATGATAAACTAGTTGTAGATATATACAGTCCCTGGCCATCGAATTACCACTATAAATTTTCAGAATTTCACACGTTTTCCGTAAAATTAAAAGGCACGTTCAAATTGTAATTACATAATTTATTAGCTACCATGATACACTATTACTGTACATAACATTATTAACACACGTTAATATCTTGTATTTCCACCCTTTGCTTTGGTCACAGCTTCCGGCATGCTCTGTATACATCATATGCTTTATACCTTCGTTATTTTCCCAAATATCTGTAATTCTTTTCAACTCAGATAATGTGGTTGGAGAGTTGTAAACTAGTCTTTTGAGTAGGCAGACATTTTCTATGGCATTCAAATTTCACCTGTAGCGCTATACTCGAGCCTGACGTAAACGCACGTTCCTTAATCGCTCATCATCGACACAATTTATTATCACGATAGTAACAAATTGCTGTGTATATATCGTTGTCAATGTATTTGGTAATAATTTTGCATGACCTAATACAATTTTTCGTGTATGACCATGTTATTGCCATAAGAGTGAAATTTTCGTGCGTGATTCTAATTCAATGCCTAAGGACTGCTTATTTCCAAAATATAGTAGCATGTGTGTATAATCTCCCATATATGCTATTATCCATATGTGTATTCAAAAATTTAGAAATTTGAGGATCGAGAAACTGGGATTTGAGAAATTGAGAAATTAAGAAATTGAGAAATTGAGAAATTGAGAAATTGAGAAATTGAAAAATTGACAAATTGAAAAATTGACACATTAATAAATTGACACATTGACAAATTGACACATTGAGAAATTGGAAAATTGAGAAATTGAAAACTTGAAAAATTGGAAAATTGAAAAATTGAAAAATTGAAAAATTGAAAAATTGAAAAATTGAAAAATTGAAAAATTGAAAAATTGAAAAATTGAAAAATTGAAAAATTGAAAAATTGAAAAATTGAAAAATTGAAAAATTGAAAAATTGAAAAATTGA